AGAATATATGCAGTGTATTATTTGTTGAAACTGTACTTCTGATTTGATTTGAAACTGTCTCATTGCTATCTGTTTATCAATAAAACTTTGAAAAAAAAAAAAAAAAACAAATAATGGTCCGTACGGACCCAAATATACTGTTTTAACTTTTATTACAGGTATATTGACTTTATCACATTAGATTATATCTTTTGTGATACAGTCATCATTTAATATTTTGTTTACTTATATCACTTCATGTACATTTCAGATCTTATTTTGTTTTCACAAGAATTTCTATTCTAATAACTTTAGGTCTAAATATATTTTATAATGAAATTATGGCACAGTATACTCAGAATCATTTTAAAACATATTATAAAATAGATTATATACAAATAAAATGTTTTCCTAAAAAACATACATAAAAGTAGGGCAAATTAGATGTATTTTATTTCAGATCATGGCCTTGTGTTCATACTTCTACATAATTGAATAGTATGAAAAGTTTAATGTCTTTTTTTGTTTGCTTGTTTTAGTACTGGGTCTACAGGGTCTCACTACACAGATTGGACTTGTAGTGATCTGCCTATGTCCAGCCTCCCAAGAGCTGGGATTACAGGCAGCTCTGGGATTGAGACACCCAGTTTCAATCACTGTCTCAGTGCTCCCTGAAGACAGGGCCGGCACGACAGGCCAGGGATCAAACCCCATCTGCTGCATCTGCCTAACCAGGCGCTTTAATCTGCTGAGCTATTTGGCCGGCCCTTGAAAAATCTGATTTTCAACAAAAACTTTTTAAAATTTTACTTTATATACCAATGTCATTGCCCAAAGAACATTTTAAAACAAAATTAAAGACAAATAAAATAATTTCCCCAATTTAATGATTTTCACCTATTAAAATTAGAATAAAAATATTTCTTATAATGTTTAAATGAATACATTAATAATAAATTCATTTTTCAAAACATTTTAGGGTAGATTTTGTTGTCTGTTCATAGGCTAGAAACCTGTAATAAAGAATTTTAACGTATGTTTTGAAAGGCTATCTTAACCATAATACCCTTCAAAAATGCAGGTATACTTACATACACACATACAGTGGTACCTTGGTTCACAAATTCAGTTTGTTTTACAGTTTCGGGGGAGATAGCCTCATTTAGGGGTGTGTGGGGAAGATAGTCACAGTTACATGGAAGCAGAATTTTGTTGAATGAGTTTGGCATCTGAGTTGTTTGCAGACAGCATCTGTGAACCAAGGCATTGCTATAACACCAGTCTGTAAATTCTATGGATTCTGTTGCAGTTGTCTCTTACAGAAAGATCGTATCATAGGTCATTGTTTTATAGACTGAATGAACAGTATTCTTTCATGAAGATTTCATTAAATGTCATTGAACATTCTTTACCTCTTAATTTTAAAAAGTTACTTTAAGTTAAGCTTCATGTTGGGAGAGGTCAGTGTGGAGACTGTCCAAGGAGGACCAAGTGTATTGCTAAAAGTCTGCTGTATGAGCATGTGTATGTAAGCAATTTTTCAATCAGTCAATAGCAAAAGCAGTATCATACAGGAAAATCTGAGGGAAAAAGGATGGGGGAAGGTCTTTATACCTAGGAAGACCGGTTATTAATATTGTAGCAACACTTAAAGGTATATTTCAAATGACTATGAGAAGACTTCTCTAAGTTAGCCAGTAGTTAGACCATCATAGAGTTTTTAAATCAGAAATCTAGGATTATAAAATCTTAAATTTGCTTGTACTTCTGTGCTTTTGATCCAGTCTGGAGGCCTGCTGTGGACATGTGAGATTCAGATAGGACTGATGAGTCATAATCTGACTGTGTATATTAGACTGCTTTATTTTTAAATGTATTGTAATAGGTTAAGGAAATGGAAGGAATTCTTAAAAGAAGATATCCCAATTCTTTACCTGCCTTAATATTGGCTGCCTCCGCCACTGGTGATTCAGCAGATAGAAATACAGTAGAATTCATGGAAAAAAGGATTAAAAAGCTAGAAGCTAACCTGGAAGGCAAAGATGAGGAAGCAAAGAAAAGCCTTCGTACCATGGAACAACAGTTTCAAAAAATGAAGGTAAGCACGGGCTCGCTGTGGGGTTCGCGCTCGGGTGGAGGTGCAGAGCCTCCTGGATCACATTTTAGCAAGCAGCCCTGGTGTCCTGGCCACAGCCTTCGCTACCGCTGCACCTCCACCTGTCCTGTCCTGTCCCCTTTCAGCAGCTTATATCAGACATAAAGTGGTCGAGCACAGAATAATCTTCACATCATCCCTCTCAGTGTTAGAATTAGTAGGAATTAAGCCAAAGATAAAGCAGATGAAATAGCCCTAATATATACTTAGCATAGAAAGAAAAATTATCACTGAAATTTAGGTAGGGGTGAAAGAGATAACAAAAGCACACATTTTGAGAGTGAAGCAGAGATGCAGCAAGGCATCTTCCAAAAATTTATTACTTCTAAGCTCTCTGCCCCTTTGTGAATCAAAGGAATCTAAATGTAACTTCTGGAACAGACCAGGGATACAGTGTCCGGTCGTTTACTTTCTCTGAGCCCACGGTTGTTGTCAGGAATCATAGCAAGATGATTTCAGGGATTTCCTAACCTGCCTTACATAGCACTTCCAGTTAGTGGTGAAGCAGGTATTGGTACCTGTATTACCGAGGTGAGGACTGAAGTTCACACCTTAACCAACTTCCACAGAATTCCGCTGCTGGTACGTAGCAGAGCAGGGCTCAAACCTAAGGCTTCTAGCTGCAGCCCTGTGCCAGACTGCTTCTGGCAAGTGATCTCATTCCCCACAGATTTCTGTGCTGAGAAAAGCAACAGATAAAAGAACATTAAATTCCAGAGACTGTAAAAGGTTGACATACTGGAAGTACGGGGGCCTGAAAATTAAGGTCACATCAAAGCAGGTCGTGTTTCTGCTGCTCACCCCCTTTATTAAATATCTCAGCAGTTGTGTATGCAGCTGAGCTGTTCTTCCCATTTTTAACTGATCACTCTTCACTGCGTGTGTGTGTGTGTGTGTGTGTGTGTGTGGCCGCCACACTCTTGGTCAAGTTCATCTTCCCCATCCTTGCCCCATTCTCCTTTCAGCAGACTTTGCCACGCCCATTAGCATAGCTGGAAACACCACCAGACTCACCCAACCCTAGTCCAGGCCCAGCCTCTCTGGGCTCGGTCTTCTCACATTATCAGAAATAATAATTGACTTATTGCCTGTTACCCACTTTTATTTCAAAATACGTCTTAATTAACATGTCACTATACTTTGGTCATTAGTAAAAGAATGGATTGAGATTGGAGTTGCCCAGTAGCTCAGTGGTACAGCTTTTGCCCAGCATTCACAAGCTGCTGGGTTCAAATCTTAGCACCACTCACACATACACACACACACACACACACACGTGTGTGTGCGTTTACTTATGTATTACTGTAGAAACTTCCTGACTCGTCTACACATCCCCATTGTGCCCATCTTATAACTCATGACCCTAAAGCCAAATTTACATGTTCAGATCACTATCAAGGGATAGTTAATATCCTTTCAACAGCTTCTTGTTGGTCTTAGGATCAATACATGGCATTTATCCACAGATGGCCAGGTTGTTTTCATTTTCTTCAGTTTTTTTATACCACGCTTCCTCCACTCCATCACACTGGCCTGTTTCACCTGCTGCCTTGTTTCCCCTCACCCCAGAAGAGTGAGAGAGAGTGTGTGTGTGTGTGTGTATGTGTGTGTGTGTTGCCACAGACTGGTATCCTCTGCACCCCCTTTCCCACCACAGAGGTGTAGGTGAGCCTAAACACTACTCCAGTGAAACACAAAAAAACTTTGAAATAGTAAACAGTTCTGGGACCAGTGAATGCATGGGCTCTGGGTGCGCTAGGCCCCAGGCACCTACCACAAGTAGATGGCGTTGCTGGTTGTGAACTCTGTGATGGCTAGGACTATTCCACTCTCACTCACTGTTGTATTCTATCATTCAACAAGGTGCCTGGCACAGAAGAGTCTCAAATACTGTTTAATCCCTACTTTGTAAGATATTGGCACTATTGAGTGTCGTATAAGGCCCTTCGTCCATGCCTGGAAAATAACAGACAGTAAACGAATATAGTTATTATTCATATTCTACCAAGGAAACAGTTCAAGTGTGAACCCCCTTCCCCACATATTTAATGAACTAATCTAACTTGACTTTTCTCCTTTTTATATTCTGCCCCTGCTCATGCCATGTCCCTTCCTCACTTTGTTTCTGATACTCAGAACCCACCAGTCACTTTTCACAGGACAACATCCCCAAAGTTACACTCATCCCACCAGATCAAACTAATGTGCTGTCTCTCTGCTGTCCCCCACCTTTCCTAGACCCTCAGGCCTGCTCACCACTCTACACTATTCTAGGTCCCTTAGCTCAGTTGGCATAGGGCACTGAAGCACCCTGTTGCTCCCTCACCAGGCTGTCAACTATCTGAAAGAATCGCATCTCTTATCTCAGAACCTACCACAGTAGTTGGCACAGACTTGTAGCCAACTGATTGAAAAACAAATGGAATAAGCTTTTTATTTTTGTATGCTAAGGTTTCAGTATATAAGTTCAATTGTGTTAGTCCCTGTACAATTAATAAATTGATGTTAGAAGGTTGGAAGTATTCTGCTTCCCAGACTTTAGTGCCCCCAGATGTTTACCTATTTATCCTCAAAGAATATGTGTGACAATTTGCATAAAAAGGGTGAATATACATTTAAATTAACCTACTGATGTTAATAATTTTGGCAGTACATTAATAAGTTAATACTGCTAATAAGTCTCCATTTTTAAGGATCAAGACAATTGGGGGTTACAGATTACACGTATATTTACAAAGCAACTATGACACTGCATGACATGCCAAGCTTGTGTGATACCATGCCCTTCAGACAATAAGGCTTTGGTACATTTGACTCAGAGAGAGTTGGATACATTAGAATGAAATACCTGCATGAAGGGCTGAGAACGGATAGAATCAGGGCTTAAGTAACTGAAATGTTTAGCAGGGCTTTGATATTACATAGATTCTCTCTTTAGATTCAGTATGAACAACGACTTGAAGAACAGGAGCAGCTACTTGCCTGCAGATTAAAAGAAATGCCCCAGAACCAGCGTGACGACTCCAGGGTTAAAGCCCTGGAAACACAACTCCAGGACGTGAAGGAAGCCCATCAAACTGTTGTAAGAAACCTTGCAGCAGAAATAGAGGCTCTTAAGCATCAGAATGCTGAATTGAAACTCAGGAAGAATGACACAGAGGATAAAGATTTTCGGGCTATAGAATTCCAGGTGGAACAGGCCCATGCCAAAGCTAAGCTAGTAAGACTAAATGAAGAACTGGCTGCCAAAGGAAGAGAGATACAGGACCTTTCCAGAACTGTGGAGCGGCTTCAGAAGGAGAGGAGAGTGATGCTGTCAAGTCAGAACACCAAGAGCAGAGAGGAAACAAGTGCAAAAAGAGTAAAGAAAGATGTTTTGCACCCAAATAAAGGAAATGCAAACGGCCCTGGAACCCTGGATGGCAAGCTATACCAACCACACACTTTCACTGATTCCCATGTTTCAGAGGTTATACAAGAAAACTGCAGATTGAAAAATGAGCTGGAGGAATTAACTTTGGAGAGAAATAAGATGAAGATGGAATCTGAAGCAGCGGTGAACCAATACGAAAACTCCATGAAAAGGTACAGTGTTAAATTGTGTACAAATACTTGGGAACCTAAAATGCTTTTTAAAAATCCTAAGACATTTTGTCTGAGTAACCAATTTGGCTTTGAACCAAATTTATACCTTGAGTTTTAAAAATTGTTTTACTAGGGCCCAGCTTCTAATGAATGAAAATCTGTCACCTCCAGTCTTGTCCTTGGGCTGACCAGTCTTGTCTTTCTGTATGTTTCTAAATGATGTTAATAATAAGCTGGCTTCTTGGCCTTCTTACAAAGGAAATGTCGTTTATGACTGCTGCAGGCAGATTCCTGTCAGAAAACACCTATTAAAACCAAGTGACCATCTAAGAGCTAGAGGTTTTATTTTCAAAAGTCAATTTCAGGCTGTCCGTGTGACCTATGCCTGACTTGAGGAACTTCACACATTTCTTTGCAGTCTTCAGTTGCTGTCCATTTTCGCTGTCTTCTGAGCCTCTGCAGACCTTTGAAACTGTTATTCCCCTAATCAACCAAGTTCTAGTCTCCGCTCGCTGTCTCAGTGCCACTTTCCCTTGGGTAGCCTCTTCCTGCCTCCCCTTGTCTTGAACACAGCCCTTGCCACCATTCTTTATCACCTGTCCTCTCCATAGTGACCTTCCATGTTCAATGCAGTGCTCTGTGTCCTCATGTTCCTTAACAGTGTTGACCATGGAGCCTTTCTTCAAGTGGCTCCCAACCCCCAATCTCCATTGCTTGGTGGGTCTAGAGCTTTTCTGACTTTCCTCCCCCACGTCTTTCAACAAAAGCTTAGTTTTTGTCTTTCAAGTTATTCTGTTGTCTGTTGCTAAAAGTATCCTTGTGGCTTCTGTGAGTCATGGCTTCTAGATTTAATTTTCAAGGCTTGTTTTCAGTTGGCAAACCTACTGGCTGGGATTATTTTTCTTACAATCATAAGTACCTCGAGTTTTCTTTTACCCATAAACTACTTCCCCCTCCTGCGTTCTCTGTGGCCATCTTAATTCCATCTTCTTGGCCCAAGTTCACTTCCTTTTTAACTAGGGCTCGGATATGTAGAATGCCTCCTAACAAACATTCATCAATCAGCTTTCTTCCTCACTGTAGTAGACTAGGACAGACAGCCTGTATACTGTACAGTTTTCCCACTGAGCGCCTTTCATTTGTACCTCTCCCAATCATGCTTTAAAAATATTCATGTTCTTTAAGTAGTTCCATATCCCAATCCTTCTGCCCTCCACTGACTCCCAGCTTCCATAAATACCAAGACTAAATCCCGCTGCCTGGCATCTTGCTTCCCATCACTATTCTAATAGTATTCTCGGGGGTGTGATTGAAAATTGTTTTTCACGTTTTCATTACAATAAAAGACACACTTGCCTTTAATCCTCAGAGCATCTCCTTTTGCTCAAGCATGCTTTGCATTCTTTCCACTTTCAGAAGCAGTTCTCTTGAGTCTTGAGTGTCTTTAGTGCTGCTGCATTAGGTAAATGGTGGTGCAGTAAGGAACACAGCAGGCTGTAAGGGGGTCTGGGCGGGAGCTCCAGGAGTAATGGGTGAGCTGTGCTGGGCCCAGCTTTGGCCCAGGCCTTCTGTGGGTAGCTTGGTGGGGTTAGTGGGGCAAGTCAGGTGGACGGTGAGTTGGGGAGGGCATGAGGCCAAGGGCATGCATGTGGGCAGCTACAGGCTCTGTAACCTAGCGGGCGGCCATGTGTTGAGTCTGGCAGAGCAGGCATTGTTCCCAGGCTCTGGAGGGGCTGTTTTGGAGCTCAGGAACTTGGCGGCTGTGGAGGGTTGGGCCGAGGGAGTGGGGGCTGCCCAAGGCCATGATGAATCTTGATCACCTGACATGCCACATCTAATGCCTCTTGCTCATTTGTGTTTCAAGTCTTGCTGCCTCCACAAAACACTGCTTGGAACTTCCCAGGAAACTGCCTGCCACTTCCCACCTCCTACATAACTTTTATGTACCAGGAAAGTGGTAATCCTGCGCAACTCAGCAGCCCCGGAGAACAGATGTTCAGTCAGTTTTGTGTCTGCCGCCCTGCAGAAACCCAGTGTAGAGCAGAGTGTGTGGAAATGGCTGGCCTGCGGATGGGCCAAGAGCCAGGGCAGCATCACGCCGCTGCTCCACTCCGCTCTGCATCCCCCGTTCTTTGGTCCTGAAGCTGATGAGAAGACTCACATACTCTCCTAGAAGTAACTTCAGATCCAGGTTTTTTTTGTTGTTTTGGGTTTTTTTGTATTTTTAGTAAGGGTCTACAGGGTCTCACTATGTAGAATGGACTTGTAGTGATCTGCCTGTGTTCAGCCTCCCAAGAGCTGGGATTACAGGCAAACACCACGACGCCCAGTCTCAGTCGCCATCCCAGTCACCATGGGGGCCTGCAGTTGCACCCCTGCCGCTGCGTCTGCCTAAGCAGGCACTTTAATCTGCTGAGCTATTTGGCCAGGCCTATAATTTTAAACTTTCATTTGTTGTCAGTCTGTTTCTCTGTTAACTCTAAACCTAAGCAACAAACGTTCCCTCCCAGTCCCAGATTTAGGCTTTTTTTTAATTACAGTTCAGTTTGAAGGTTTCATGCTTTCTCTAGAGCACTAACCATACTGTTGCCATGGAGAAATGCTCATGTAGTAGAAGCACGTCATAAATTTGTATCTCACAAATTGCAGTATTAGTGTATATATAAATCAACAGTGATTTATATATAGCATTCCATTTATTCAACTGCCTAAATGCATAAATTTTTGCCAGAGACAAAATCATAGTCTCAAATAGTCCAAATTAACAAAACTCAGATTCCCTTGTAGCCTGAGAATCACCAAAAAGATTGTGTTATTCTCACAGCATGTACCCAGCCCGAGGATTGCATTTGTGCACCCCTCGACTCAAGGGGAAGATTCCCAAGGGAATAACTGTGATTGTCCAAATAAGAACCTGAGCAAGAAACCTGTATTTATCTTAAATGCCAAGCACTTTCCTTTAAATTCAAGCAGGTACTTTGAAGTCTAGCTCTGCTTGACTTGAGCACAGTCCTGCATTGTGCTCATCTGTGATCCTGGTAATTTCTCTTTTTCTAAAATCAAGCTTACTCTTATAAAATCTGATGAATAACAGTAGTTCTCAGAGTGGTTGTAAGAGCCTGTAGCTCCTGATGTGTAAAGGCCCTGGCATGATACAGTTAACGCTGATGCCCTTCCTCCCTTCACTTCTTTCATTTCCAGGCTTCTCACACTGGTTTTATGCTAACTCTGAAGTAGAGATTGAGAAGCCAGTGTTGGGTGGGAATTTCATGCCTTCCTCCCGTAGGGTCAAGGAAGACACGGCTGCACACATTGCCTCCCTCAAAGCGTCCCATCAGAGGGAAGTAGAGAAACTCCTGTGCCAAAATGCGGTGGAAAATTCTTCTTCCAAAGTAGCTGAGCTGAATCGCAAAATAGCAACACAAGAGGTAGATCACAGATGTATCTTGATCTTTCTTTGACTCCGAATGCTTCTTTTAGGGCTGTTGGTATTAATTTGGAAATATTTTAATTTCACTGTTTCAGGCTAATGATAAAAATGAGAAATTATTATTAGTGTTTTTGTTTGTTTTTACAGAAGAGGATATTACCCTATCTTAAAATGTTTCTCCTTCAAAATTATGCTGAGTATTTTTAGTCAGGCCCCTACCCTTCTCAAGTCCTCTAAATACGTTGTAACAGATGGTTGAGGTTCATGTCTAATGTGATTATGACTTTAATACTTGAATGTTGCAACACTTCCCTCCCCAAGTCCCAAGTGACAGGTAATTTACTGAGGCATTCTTTCTGCCTGCTACTTTTCATTTATTGAACAAATGATTCAGGTCAGTAGACAATCAGGCTCAGGGACTGAAATAATGAACACAACATATGCATAGTGCTGACACTTATGAAACAGTCTTCTCTGAGAATTACGACAAAGAATGCTGACAAGTTACCAGCATTTCCTTGAATAAATGTTGTCTTCCTTTTTGGATAATTAGTTGTATATCCTTAGAATATCCCAAAATATCTGCCATGTAGTCTGTCTTCTCTGATGTTAGTAAATTAAAAAAGAGTACTGCAGTAGAACTGTTACCTGCAACTTACTTACATATAGTACATCCAAGGAAAGAAAATGCTAAGAGGTTAGCAGTTGGGGAGCCCAGTTGAAGACTGTGAATGTTAATTTTAATCTTCATCCTTTCTGTAAGTTTTAACTTTAATGAAACAAGCTTTAGAGGAAAAAAACTTGAAATAATTCTGTGATCTATCCCACCTATAATTACTTCATACCATCCTAATTAAAAAACATCCCCCAGGTGAAGAAGTTTCACTATGGAGGTATCTATTGAAGTGTTTAGTGGAAGTAAAATGTACTGACGTCTGCAGTTTAATTTCATGTGGCCCAGAAACGGGACTATTGTAGGCATTTAGTGAGAGTGTTTAAAGTGCCATTCAAAGGTAGTGATCCAGATAGGCTTGCGGAGAAGTTGTCTAGCTTTTTTCTCCCTTAGGTTTCAGGGGATGGGTGTAAGCATGGTATCGAGTGATTCTGTAGGATGAAACAGTCTAGGCAAACGGGAGTATTGATGTCGTGATCCCATAGTGCTACAAATAGGTCACTTGCAAGAGTCATAAAATAGTGGGAAGTTATGAGGTGAATGGAAGTCAGTGCAGTCTGATCTTTGAAAGAGTAGGAGAACAGCCACATTTTTCACCACTTCTTAAAGGAACTTCATGTATTTGTCTAAAAACATTTCACACATTTTAGCCTTGTTTCAAACTATCTTCATAAAAAGTGTAAGATATTGTATATTGTCCAGTTTCTTCCAAACACTTAAAATTGAAAGACTTGTTCAAAAGATTGTTTTGAATCATAAATTGTCTTTGTTATATTTCGGGAAGTGTTCAAGGAAAAACGTTATTAACTCAGTACCTCTGACAATTTTCCAGGTCCTTATAAAACATTTCCAAAGTCAAGTTAATGAGCTACAAGGAAAGCAAGAGTCTCTTGCAGTTTCTCAAGTTCGAGAAGAAATCTTACAGAAAGAGGTAGTACAAGTTTTTCTTAGTCATTTCAATCATGTATTTATATATTAAAATGCTCAACTTAAATATGCACAGAGATATAACCTTAAAGTGTTAACATCAATATATAACCTGTAAGTATTACACATCAAGAAAATATCAGTAACTGATGACTGGGCTGAATGATTTTTGTAAATCTTTTTGGGAAAAGGAAGTTAATTTAGGCAACTAAGCATTCGTCAGGTTTTCTGAAAAAGTTTTAGAAGTTTGAGGAATTGGGTGAAGGGATAAGAGCAGATCTTGAATTAGGCCCAAGCCGGGCAGCCAGCCACCCAGAAGATCTTTGTAGGGTCAGAGTGAACCTGTGACACGGACCTTGACACCCTTCTGTACCCTCCCATAATCTTATCCTCCCATGGATACCAAGAGGACATTTATTTAGAGTAAGCGCTATTAAAGTATAATCTTTTCAAATATAAAATCCCCACTTTTTAAAGGTACATTTATTTTAATGTGAAGCTATGCAAATAAGCTACGTCCTGCAAGCTCAAGGGCCTGAGTTCAATCTCTGGTTCTGCAAAAAAAAAAGTTCCTTTTCCTTGAGTTTATTATTTATACAAAATCATAATATATGTATTGTCACATTTTTATAAAGTTAAATCATTTTTCTTTTAAAAATGATAATGCAGGCATAAGTTTATGTGAAAGTTGCTGTAACTCTGTTCAGATGATGAGGAGAGAACTGGAGGAAAGACAAGAAGGCCTAAATAAGTGGTGGTATTCTCATGCAACTGAGCACTATCCAGCCATTTAGAAGAAAGGGATGGGGAAAAAAGGGCTGAGCTCTATCTATTGTATCCATCTGAATGGTGTCTAATACGTATTAGTGGGAAATAAAGCAAGTTATAGCCAAAAAGAAAACAAATAAGCTATGTCCTGGTTTAAGCCATGAAAAGGCTTAACTGTGGATATGACATAACTTTCACAGAGAACCTGCAGAAGACACAGTCTCAAGATGCAAAGTTGGGGCCAAGGAGATGGCTCCGTAGAAGAAGTGCTTCCCTGGCAAGTGCAAGGGCCTGAGTTCAATCCCTGGTTCAAAAAAAAAAAAAAAAACCAAAGTTGCTCCCAGAAATAGCTAAGAAAGCAACAGCGTACTGTACAGGCAGTGAGACTGTTTCAAGTCTCCCATAGAATGTGCAAAGATCCAGTCACAAACCTGATGTGCACCATAGATCAGGCACTTACAAAAAGTACACAGAAATCAGGACAGTATTTAACTTGGGTGTTCTGTGTCCACATGTGGCATCATCGTCTTTCATCTTATAAACGTGATTGAGTTGTATTCTGGAAAATTCTTAGTAATCATCTTAACACAGGTTAAAACCACAGCATGTTCTATGCAGGGCCTCTGAGCATTCTCAAACCATCCAAAATAAAGCCTGTTTTTCTCTGGTGGCTAATGATACACTTAGGGATGTTCCACATTTAAAATACTTAGGTTGTCTGACTCAATTGCTTTACATTCCACTTTTTTTCCCAGCTAACTTGGGCAAGATGTGATTTTTTCTTTGAAGTAGTGTTGCTACCAGATGTTTCTGTATAAAGCATGATTAAATTTATTAGTTTAATCAGCTTGCATTTTCTTGTGCATTGCGTTTTGATGTTAAGCAAAATCTGACTCATGCAATTTCTTTTATAATCATTGTATGGTATAAAGAAAATGTAGTAACTTTACTAACCCTTAAGAGCCTTCCTGTCAGTCCCCTGCATTTTACTCCAAGGTGCTAATCACTTTTCTTTGTGGACGGTGCTGTGGAAAGGGAGGGTCTGCCCTAGGCTGCAAGCTTCTTCAGGGCAGGGACTGTTGTGTTGCTGCACACACAGGTCTAAGTGGTCAGCACAGGAAGAGTTCAGGGTGTGGTTATCCCTCCTTCACATTCATACCTTTATCTGTGGAATAAGTTACTAAAATTATTAAATGGCAAGGGCTATAAGAGTTTCAAATTATGGAGTGTTGGTAAAAAATGTACATGCATTGAACTTCTGTGCATCCATCCCTACCATTGGGTGCTTTAACACTCAGGATAGGATGCTAATTCCCGTGTCTGACTGCTGGGGAGCTTGAGCCACCAGTGGCCCATGCATGACTATTATACCATTGGAGGTACAAGCAGATCTAATCCCTTCCGTTAACCTTTTTCTAATAAAATAAAAAATTGCCCAGTGGAAGGAACAGTCGTACATGTACCACCAGTAATTCAAAAACATGTATTATTTTAAATCCTACTCATTACAAATACCTTGTATATAAGCGGAACCCACCAAAGGAAGTGCTCGACTTCACATTTAACCCTATAATCAGATAGCTGGACGTGGGAGGGCAAAGCTGTCGTCCTGTCTGGAGCTCCTCAGAACATGACATGAATTTGGGAGCTAAAGCAGACCTTTACTTCCTGTACGTAAGGATGGAAACTATTCATTACTCAATCCAAGATGCCTCTTATCTGGAGAAATTGTATACAAGTATTTTTAAGATTGCCTTTTTAAAAGGATCTATATTCTTGTGTCTTTATTCTTTCACTTCATACTTCAATTTTAGATTACAAAACTCTTAGAAGAATTGAGAGAAGCCAAAGAAAAGCATACACCGGAGTTGAAACATTTCATGGGCTTAGAAAAGAAAATTAAACAGATGGAAATAAGACATAAGCAGAGAGAACAGGAGCTTCAGCAGGTAAAGTAGATCACATATACATAGTTTATAGTTCTTCGCTTTCAAGTACCATTAATTTGCTATAGTTTTCACCTACTTACCAGAAGTTTCTTCTGGTTGTATTTAAATCTTGTTAAAAATAATAGCACTTAAGAGGTGGTAAGACTTTAAACTGTCCAGTATTATATTGGTCCTTTTGAGACAGGACCTCACTGTGCAGTTCAGGCTAGCCTTGAACTTTCAGGGTCCTCTGGCCTCAGCCTCCCAAGTGCTGGGATTACAGTCATATGCCACCACACCAGGCATTTTGCCTTATATTTGGAAGGAGAAAAAACTTGCATCATATTATTATTGACAGGTGTCTTAAGTTTTACATCTTACCCTGCAAGTAGGGCTTTAAGGAAAGTGTTCCATATTGCAAGTCACTTCAACAAATGTGAGTGTGAGAAAATTGATATTAAAGTATTATTGAAATATCACTAACAGTAATATGTTTACTACAGTTACAGACATTATCTGCTATTTTTAAACTTCTAATAAGGACATGATATATTTTTAATTACTTGCCTTGGTGCTGACAGTTACCTTTGCGTTAAGTGTCCTAGAGTTTGTTCAAGCTGCCACAGCAAAGTATCACAGACAAGTTGGTTAAAACAACAAAACTTGTTTTTCACAGTTCTGGCAGTCTTCTTTGTGGCCTCACGTAGCCCACTAAGGATGGGAGAAAAAGGGGAGGTTCTCTAACGTCTCCTTCACATCAGGATGCTGATTCTGTCGGAATCCTTATGAGCTTATTTAACCTTTTTTCCTTAGTGCACACCAATGGTTAAGGCTTCTGTGTGTGACTTTTCAGAGGTCAGAGATAGTCCATAAGTGCAACCAGAATACTTTTTCAAGACAAAAAGTACTCTCTACAGGCAGAACTTTATGGTTGACCAGAGCTCCACAGAAAAACCCAAGCATGCATCTCAGTTTTGTCCCACCTCAGCTCTCCAAGCCTGTTCTTCACGCCCACTACGAACTGTTAACAGCAGTGCATAATTTCTATATTTGCAGATAATACAGCAGACATACCAAGTTGTAGAAACTGAGCAAAACAAGGAAATCGAGAAGTGGAAAAGACTTGCGCAGCTGAAGAATCGCGAGCTGGACAAGTTCCGCACAGAGTTAGACTCCATATTAGACGTTCTTCGGGAGCTGCAGCGGCAGGGGGTGGTTGTGCCAGTTGCTCTTGCAGGCCAAGTGAACGCACCGGAACTTGAGTAGGAACTCAGACTTCAGATGAGCCTGTTGAAAGGCCTGAAGATGAATAAAATTGTACCATTATCAGGACAGATGAAAAATGAGTTCCACTATGTTGCCAGAAGGAAACAATGCACAGGCACCATTTCAGAACAAATTGCCCAACAAGGGAGGTGAAAAAGCATCATGGTATTTTGCTGAAGATCATTAAATAGTTACAGCGCAATGATTTATGGGCAAGTTCCTTAAGTCATATGATTGTAAGCTGATTGAAGTTACTGTGAAGAGCCTCACCCATACGCTGAGAATGGAAAGAAAATTGCACTTGTTCTAGCACATAATTAGTGAACAAATGTGTACTTGAGACAGAGCAGCAGCTGCTCTTTCTTAGGGAGCTGGGTAGAGGAGTGCGGGCCGCATGGCGTGGACAGCCTCATCAGCTGTCAGCTGAGCTGCAGCGCTTCCTCAGTAATCTAGGAACTGCTTTAGGAAATAGTTTAGTGAGAGTGCTCCACTTCCTTACAGGTTAACGGTGACTCTTGGGTTCTGGTTTTCTACCCCTTCCTCTGGGTTACTCTTTGTGTACCTAGTATAAAGTGGAAACTGAGGGAAGTTTGATGTATGTCCTGCTTTATTCTTTCAGGCTGCAGTCCATAAATGCTACTCCTAATTTTTTTATAACTTTAAACAGTAGTAACTTACCTCTTTTTGTGCAGGGTCTCACTATGCAGCTTAGACTCGTAGTGATCCTCCTGTTTTTAGCCTCCCTAGTGCTGGGATTACAGGTATGTGCCACCATGCCCGGACTCCATTGCTGCCTCTGGGTGCCTGGGAGCTATCTCTCTGACCCTACCTTTTACATTTTCTATTGAAAGACTCCATTAGAAATAAAACACGTGTTCATGAGTAGCTGCTTTATTTTATAATTTCCATCTCTAAAAGCAGATGAAAAAAAAGACAGATAAGAAGTATGTAAGACAGTGGTAGGTCAAAGCTAAAGCCAATTTATTTTCAAAATTTCTAGCCCAAGACTAATAGAAATATAATGGAACTTCCATCAAATTTTTTGATTATAGCTCCCTATCAAGATAAAAATGAAAAATTGCAAAGCTCAATTTTCATATTTTTTAAGTCTTCAGAATGTGGTTTATATTTGTAGCATACCTCAGGTTGGATTAGTCCCCTTCCAAGGTCTCAGTGGCTGACTGTATACCAGTAAGTGCGATTTTTGGGTAATAATTATGAAGTACTAAATAAAAGACAGGACGGCTAAAGTTTGGTGGACCACCAAAGGTAGATGTGACACACAGTTGTTAAATATAAGGAATTAATTACTGTCTTAATGTCCAGCATTTTTAATGTACCTTTTCTAAGAGTAGTACAAGCATTATAGTTTTGCTGTTTAATATGAAAGCATTTTAATTTATAATATAATTTATTTTAATTACTTGTGCTTTTGTGTAGCTTTTGTTTGGAAACCTAAGAATTCAGCTGCACCCATCATTCCCTTTGTCCTTTTGACTTCCTCTGTACGTGTTCATTCCAAGCACAAACACAGCTGGCTTTGAAACTGAAATGCAAATGTCATATATTTGTGGACAAGGCACACTGGCTCTCAAGACTTCTGGGACCAAGCTATGCCAGTGGTCTACCTGCTTCTCTAGACTGCAGCCAACATGTCATGAGCTCCACCCTCCAGAATAGCATGACCTATATTAAACTCGCTCCTGTCACTATCTCATATTGATTGTTTCTCTTGATAACCTGACCAACACAGGTTTTGGTAGTAGGAGTAGTTTTAAAGGAACGGATTTTTTTTTTTTTTTTTTTTTTTTTTTTTTAGGTACCAGGAATTGAACTCACAACCTTGTACTTGCGAGGCAGGCACTTGTATCATTGAGTTATCACCATGTCCCAAGGAATAGATTTTTTTTAATCTTTTATTTACTTTTTTGTGTGTATGTAGGACAGGGTCTACAGGTCTCACTACATTGGACTCAGTGAACCTCCAGTTTTTAGCCTCCCAAGTGCTGGGATTACAGGCCTGTGCCACCACACCCAGTTTCAGTCACAGTCCCAGTGCATCCTGGGGGCGGGGCTAGTACAGCACGCTGGGGTGGAACCCCAGCCACTGTGCTCTATTTAAGCAGGAGCTTTTAGTCCGCTGAACTATCTGGCCAGCCCTTACTTACTGTTTATTTGATACAGGGTCTCCCTATGCAATTCAGACTCATAGTGACCCGCCTGTCTCAGCCTCCCCCAGCACTGGGATTGCAGGCATATACCACCGCTCCCAGTTTTGGTGGCCAGCCTGGCACACAAGAAGTTCCAGGGCCAGCATGGCCTGCAGTACCAGGGATCAAACCCAGGTCCTTGCTTTTGCCAGTCAGGCACATAGACTTCCAAGCTATTTCCACAACCCTAGAATTTTTATGAGTTCCTTCAATTTGTTTTGGGGGTTTCTGGAATTTGTTTTATGAACTGATTAGAAATAACACCAAAGACTCTCTGTTCAACAGTTAGCAAGGGTCCTGATAACCGAGATACACATAGTATTTGAATTGGATATTCCTGAACATCTATTAAAAGAGTTAACTAACAATGACTCTGAATATGAGAAATATGATGACAGTTGGTACTACTGTCACCAGAGATGAAACAAAAAGATAAGCTCGGGAATTTGACTTCACAGTTCAAGCACTGCGTGAAAACCTGTAAGCTTGTAGGTGTGCTCAGTTAGAGAATCTTAATTCCTGTAGCCACATGGCTGAAAATGTGAAATCAAATACAAGTCCTCATCATAGAACTGGCTAAATTACAGTGAATGTTAAAGTCTCAGCTTTTAAGATTGTGTGTTGTTAAAGTGAGAGCACTGAATGAATATAATAAGCAAAATATACACTTAGCCAAAGAAGTGGAAAGTGTTCACAGAATTATAAAACAAAATACAAGTAAATGGTAAGATGCCCTGTGTTCATGAATTAGAAGAATATTGTTACCCAACTCAACATACATATTCAATGCAAGCCCTTGAAATTTCAAGTTTTCAGGAAAAAAAATTTCAAGTGAAACCATAAAAGACCCCAACCAAATAACCAAAGTAATCTGCCTGATAGAAAAATAATACTACAGAGCTACGGTTACCAAAACAGTCCAGTAAAACGTACACGTGTGCACATGTACACACACAAAATGACTAATAGAACAGGATAGTGCCCAGAAATAAATCAGCTTTTACCTACAGTTGACGTTCAGTTGAGCTGCCAAGAATACATAAAAGGTAAATGAAAGCTTCCCCAGGTGGGTGTTGGGATACCTAGATAGTCACATCCAGCAGAAAGAAGTTAGGGCCTTATACCATGTAAAAAAATCATCTATAGAGAGGCTAACAACTGAAAAGACTGGAGAAAATGGAGAAAGCTGTATAACACTGGCCCAGGTAATGATTTTTTCAGTATAACCCAAAGCCACCAACAAAAGCAAAAACTAAACATGTTTATATAGAAGTGAAAAGCTGCACAACAATGCAAACAATGAGAAACAAAATATTTGTAAACAAAATATTTGTAAAAAAAAAAAATACATCTTATAAACTAATAACCTAATAGCAAAAGGACCCTGTTTTGAAAATAGGCAAAGGACTCGGATATGTCTTGACCACACAAATTCATAAGAAAATGGGGCCTACCAACTCCAGCCAGCAGCCAGGCCCCAAACCCCGCCGGAAACTCCCACCTCTAGCTACTGGTCAGGCCTGGTGTGGAAACCTGCAGCAGAACTCCCAGCAGAGAGGCTAGAGGCGAGATCCAGCCAGCTAATCCAGGAGCAGAACAGCTTACCAGTGGGGCACAACTGGTTCAGTTCCCTGTGCTGCAGCAGGAAGAATCCAGGCACAGCAGCCAAACTCAAGCCAGGCCCAGATGGACCAGTTCAAACTTGGTAGATCCAGACCTGGTAAGCTGAGACCCACTGCTAGGCCCAGATCTATGAGAGCATCCTCTTGGTTACTCGCTAGACTGATCTCAGAGGAACAAATTTAAATTATAAATTCCCAATTTTATATCTGCTTAGCTATACAGTCATGATGACCCTTAAGGTCTAAAATACCCATTAATTACAAAAGTTTGTCGATCGCTAAATCTAACTACTCATTATTAATGTTGCTAATTGTACTATAAATACAAAACTGTAACTGCCTTAAGCACATAATCTCCTTTGGGTAATAGTGTCAGTAGGAGCTAAGGTAACTACTACACTAAGGCTCTAGACCAAAGGTCAGAGGACAGAGCTTTACAAAATGACAAAAGGAGCAAAATACAGGCTCAGGCCCTGAGCCTACCTAGAACAAATGCAAGAGACACTAGCATTGAGGAAATTGGAAGCCACACTCCTGAAATCTCTGAAATAATAGTGTCTAAAGTAAAGAAACAACTGTGGAAAGGTATAGAGGATATCAGATCAGAAATACTCTCTGAAGTAAAAGAAGAAATAACTATAATGAATTACTAAGTGCTTCTAAAGTAGACACTGATGAAAAAATACATATATATATACAGAAGAATAGAAAAATGATGGAATCCTTGAATGAGCAATATAGGAAAGAAATAGAATGCATGAAGCAGAATCAAAGAGATATACAGAAAATTAAAATCTCGATCACAAGCTGGCAAAGCCATTTGAATGAAAGTGAAGATAGACTATCAGACCTTGAAGACACTATTACAGCTAGTGAAAAGGTAAGAAAAGATCTCTTAAAAACAACTAGGATTCAGGAAACAATAGCTCAACATCTGCAAGATGATGCAAAGATGAATAGCATAAAACTAATAGGCATCAATAAGAAAGGAGTCAATACAAATGATATTAAAAAAAATGGGTAGAAATAATAGCAAAAAACTTCCTAAATATGGGGAAACAATCTGACACTCCAGTAGCCGAAGCATATAGAACTCCAGATAACATCAACCCAATTAAAGCCACACCCAGACGTATAATAATCCAGATCCCAGAAATTCAGCACAAGAACAATATATTTATAAAGTCCCTAGAGAAAAGAAACATCTCAAAGGAAAACCCATCAGAATAATGGCAGATTTAACAAAACATGTCAAGAAGAGCATGGAGCAGAGTACTTAAAGTCTTGCAAGAAAACAAATTTTCAACCCAGACTGATATACCCTGCAAAATTCAAGTCTATTGGGGAAGTGAAATATTTCCATGACAACAACTAAAGAATTTCATGACCACAAAGCCAACCTACACAGACTACTAAAAGATTCTACAGGGATCCAAACAACCATAACTCCATGAATGAGAACAGAAAGAACCCACCAAAAAGGGCAAACAAACAGGAGAAAAATAGGTAACGAACAGCAGGAAAACATGTCAAACATAAGTCAATGCATCTCAGTGATAACCATCAATGTAAATGGACACAATTCACCAATTAAAAGAAATAGACTGGCACAGTGGATTAGAAAGCAAAATCTAACAATATGCTGCATGCAAGAAACACACTTTACTCATAAAGAAATTCACAGACTGAAAGTCAAAGAATGGAAAATAATACTACATGCCCCAGGACCTCAAGAAAAAAAGCAAGGGTAGCAATCCTCTTCACAGTCTCAACTTCAAACCAACAATGATCAGACAAAATAAAGAAGGCCATTACATACTGGTTAGGGGAAAAATACAAGATGAAGAGGTAACAGTCATAATATGTATGCACCAAACACA